GCTTTGTCGGTGCCTTTGGAGACTTTGGGCATCCCCGTCCACTTCTTCAGGTTGCGGCCCTGACTCTCCTAGACAGGGGAGAAATCTTTATGTCGGTGAGTGGGATCCACGTGGTGTGTTTTTGTTTGCTCACTGCGTGGGAAGTTACACTGCACAACTTGCCTTGCTTCTTGTGAGAATTGCCTGCACGAGGGGCCGTCCGTTTCTTCTGTCATAATGATGTATCCGTTGAAGCGCACAGCTTGAGGGTTGCATAATTTTGGATATGCCCCTTGAATTTTTTATTATTTACGGGAGTCGTAATTGTTTCCGCACGTCACTTCGGTTTCCCACTTCTCTTATAAGAAGACTGAGGACCATTGGTGTTTCCCACTTTCTTTCCTTTTCACTCTTGGTCTTAACCTTCGTCTTCGCCTTTCTCCGACTTTTTGACTAGATCATACCTTATTTTCTGACCTCTACGATGTGGTTATTTTGGTTGAGTTCGTCCGAGGACTCCTTTCGTGCCGCCTTCCCGTGATCCAGAGGCAACGTGGAGCTTGTCGCTGGCACTGCAGATTCAGTTGGGAGATTCGATTGAACTCCTTTCGTGTGCGTGCCAGGGACTTTGGAGAGGGTCACTTTGGCAGCTGATCCTCTGTACGGTCTTCTCAATTTTATTTTCCCCGACAAAGGAGATTGGGCAGACCGTCCTCCACCCAACTGTATCGCCATCCATGATGATTATAGTCTATACAGTTTCAGGGGATATCTTCCCCGGACATTTGTGGACTTTTTCTGTCTCTTGGACATTTGCCCCCAGCCACCTTCATCCATTGGCGTGGGGTCTACTTAATGCGTACCATGTCCTTTCTGACCTGTCTGGGATCTGCATGAGGGGGTCTGTGGTTCTGCTGTCATACCGGCCTCACCGCATCTCTCATGATGCTCTTCACTATACGTTACATTCCAGGGATAGTCACTCTGCCTTGATTTCCGAGGATCGGTCCGGAGCTAAAACTGGCGGGAGCGATACTTCTTCTGGTCGGTTTCCATCCCGTCAATGTTCCTCTCATGTGGTGAGTTCGCGGTAAATTTTGCCATTCCTACCATTTCTTTCCCGCCTCGACCGCTCCTTCTCAGACCTTTTGACTCTTTTTTATGTAGTGTTCGGGGATTCGTGGGCTAGTGATGAGTTGACCTCGGGCCGCCTGTCTGCTTTGGATAAGAGATTCAGGAGCTTCGATTCCTGTTATCCCCGGTCTGTATCCGTGAGAGTACCCTTGTGCACCCACCTCACACCCATTAGGCATTCCGAGTATGCTGGCTCCTCCCTTGGGCTTCTGATTCCTCTCATTTTTTGTCCTCATATATTTTATCTTTTACACCTCAAGCTCTGTTTCTCGGCTGGAGTCCCTATTCGAGGTTTATGCTCCTGGTGGACAGTGGCCCAATGTTTGGCTTACTTGAAGCACAAAGAGATTATCCCCTTAACATCATCTTCAGAAGCGTCGCATGTCTCCATCCGCTGGCCCCTCTTCTCGAGCTGGGCCTTCTTCCGCTTGCACAGGCTCATTGTTCGATGGGTCTTCCTCTTCAGACTCGGGCTCTTCAGGGGTGAGGGAAGTGACGCCTGGTTTACCGCCTCTTAGTCCGCCGATGGTTTCTCCTAAGCCTTCCGGCCCAACGTGTTTGGGATAGCGGCGAATCTCTTCGGGACTTCAATGATCTCTGGAAAGGTGAGTTCACCGCATGCTGATTTTTCTTCACACAATGTTTTCAGTTTGGCGACGCCTTAAGCCCTCCTTTCTTTTGCAGGGTATCTGGGAGCTCACGCTGCTTGACGATGAGTTGTTGAAGTTGAACCTCGGGAGCACGAGCTGTCCGACCATGCTTGTGGCCTCTAGGTCAACCAGATGATGACCCAGGACCAGCTTGCCAAGGCTCAATCTTCAGCCCGCGAGGGAGAGCTAGGAGAGGAGGTGAGATGTCTCAAGACCATGCTCGATGACAGTCGTCGCAGCCTGAGCTATTGGGATTATGAAATTCGACTTCTCTGAGACACCCTTACGGTCTTCTGGGGGCTTGCTGCGAATGCGGAGCCCAGCGATATGTTCGCGGCTGTTAGGGTATTGGCGGACAACCATGCTGAGCTCTCCCAACTTTAGCGGGAGCAGGATGCGGGATGACGTGGTGGTGGTCAGGACGGTGGCGAGGCTGCACCCTCATCTCGAGTTCAAGGTGCCATTTATTCACAATCGGGAGGCGGTCTTCCTAATCTGGCGGGACTCTACCTGCTTTGTTTTCTGGATACTTTTGGGCTTAGCCCTTTTTGATTCGTTGTTCACCACCCTTTTTTGAATCTTTTCTATTTCGTAATTCTTTGACAAACAACTCTAACCGCTTTTAAGGCTTTGTCAGGATAACACATTTGCTACTTATTCATGACTTTGTTTTTTCTTACGTGTTTTTTATTAGTTTAGATTTCTAGCCTGGTGTGAGCACCAGAAATGTCTCTGGCTAGATTTTTGGAACTAACTGAACGTGTGTGCGTACTCTTGGCATGCTACGGCTTTTCAGGAGGAGGGGGGGGGAGAATGATTATCATCTGATTCTACCTCCGGATCCGCTTGTCCCCATCTTCTGCCTTGTCAGCGGGGACAAACGTTTGATGCAGAAGTTTTCATTCTTGTGTTAATTCCTTACATACTTATCATTGTAGTATTTAAGGTGTCAAGTCCTAATGAGGTGATTGAGAACACTATAAGTGTAGTAGAAGTGTTTAATTCAAGCAAGCAGAAAAATAAAGGTGTCTAGATTTCTAAACAACCATTCAAACTTCAAGCAAGCAATAATAAAACTAAACAATACTAGGCAAAAGAAGCAAATTCGAAATTGGCAAATATATGAAATAAAAAAGGACTCAAGATGGGGTATATTTATATAGGGGAGTCTCATGATGATCAATGATGCTTCATAAAACATATAACAATGCTAGTTCCTAGGCATGGAATTCAAACAAGCAAGATTAACCCAATCTCCTTGTGAAAATCCCTTTACTAACCACATAATTAAGAACTAACTCTCATTAGTGACCAAATGATTAGCAAGCAAGAATAACTAATTATATAAAGCTAAAATGCTCCCTAGACATTTAATCTCTTAGGTTAGGATAGACAAATCTTCTAAATGACATGATCAGCAATTCAACAAACACTTGGTAGGCATAAGAGAAGGCTAAAATATAAGCAAGCTTGATCAAGTCTAACCTAGTATTCAAAGCATCAAATAGAGATGAAACATATAAATAAAGCATAAACAAACAACAATCAACCCCAAAACTCCCCTAATTTATCTCATCTCAAACCCTAAAAAGGATTACTTACTCATCATTGCCAAAACCACAAAACCCGAAGAGAAAATATGATTAAGCATGATAGAGAGAAGATTTTAAAAAGATATCAAAAAGAGAAGTGCCGAAATTCTCTAAATAGATGCAAGATCCTTACAAGTCTACTCAGAAGACAAAGGGTTTTCAGCTTAGAAACATAAAAGAAAAGATAAAAGATAAATAAAACGATCCCCTTAAAAGTTTAGGTGTCAAACTATTTATAGGTGGCTAAGGGATCCCTAGTAAACCAGAAGTAAACAAGATTAATGATTCGGATGGCCCTTACAGGGCAGTCCAAGTCGATATGCAAGTCGATATTGTTCAAGCTGAAGGCCATATCGACTAAGACATCTCAGTATATTCCTCGATATGCTCGTCTTGGTTGTTGTATCGAGCTGTTCCACCTAGGTATGTAGTCCATATGGACGTATTCATGTTTTTTTTATAGAGAAGTACTACCTCGACATGTTGCTCGGTATGTCCACCTTGACGGTTGTATCGAGCTGGCTTGCGTGATACACAACTCGATGTGGGTGTCCTCTCGCATGTATATAGGCTAAGGTAGCCTGATATGCTCCTCGGTACGACCTCCTGAATGCTTGTATCAGCTTATCCACCTTGATATGCACCTCGATATAGATCTTGAATGCTGTATCGACTTGGCCAACTCGATATCCAACTCGATACGACTCCATATCGAGCAAGCCTGCCTTGTATGCAACTTGATATGGTCCTAAACTCCTTGGTTCCTCCTTACTTTTCCTTGGCTCGACTTCTTGATCATCCACAAAGCTCCTCATAGCCTCCAAACACCTCAATTGCACCTGCCACAAACTCTAAATGCACCAAACATGCAATGCACTCCTAAACATACTCTAAGTCCTGAATGAATGCAAATGAGACAAGAACAAGTGAAAAATGCATGTTTAGAAACTAAAAACTAATGATAAATACATACTAAAATAGAGTAAATATAGAGTATATCAGTGTTCGGCCCGACATGTGCGATGGCAGGACCCTTTGTCTGACCGATAGGTGCGCGTCAAGGTACGGCTGCTCTTGGCCGGGTTGAGCATTGGATGTCATCGGGAACTGGCTTTGCCGCGCTTAAGACCCATGAGACAAACATCTTCAAGGCGGCGCTCCCTCGGTGGAAATTGCCCCCGGCTTGGCGACCCAGCCCACTTCCGGGAGCGGAGGTCTCCTCCATGTTCTGTTGCGTCTTTTACTTTTCACTGCACGGTGCCTCAGGGCGATTGTTGCCGTCTTTAGCCGCCGCAGACGGCTTGGTATAATCCGCTAGAGAATTAGTGACAGACCTAGTGGAAGAAAGTCAGCTCTCTAACGGAACCCAAAATCCACATATCGCCTGGAAATTGATCATAGTAAAAGTGAACCCAACCTATACTTTTTATGAATAAATAAAAAACTAAAATATCTCCGATTGAAGTAAACCTCTTTAATCACGTAATGAACAGCAGTTACATTAATTACGTTACGTTAATTACATACGTTTACTTCGCAAGAGATTTACGCCCTTGCTTCCTATACTACTCTTATTTTGATACATTGAAGTAAACTTGAATATATATAAATATATATGATCGGAACATGTACGTTCCCCATTATATATAGACGTGGTGGACTTTTAATTTTAATTAACCCATTCGGAAAAAATTGAACAAGAAGAAAGCCGCTAAAAAAGCTCCTTCCATGGCAGATTCAAGCTCTTCACTCCCTCCTCTTAGCGAAAAGATCTCATACAAAAACTATGTTCTAAGAGCTGTGGTTCTCACGATCCTTGGCCTTCTCTTTTCTCTTCTCTTGTACCGGATTCTACATATGAACCAAAACGACACAGTTTGGGTCGTGGCTTTTTTCTGTGAATCTTGTTTCACTTTCATGTGGGTGCTTTTAACTAACGTAATATGGAGTCCTGCTGAACATAAACCTTATCTAGATAGACTTGATGAAAGGTACCGTTTTTCATTTACAGGCAATTATATTTACATTAAAAGCATATATTCTTTATAAAATTGTATAAAGTAACAGGAAGCTGCTACCTAGCTCTTAGTTTATATATCTCACGAAGTATACTATTCATTTGTATGTCATCATTTTCAAAACTAGCTTTTTATGAATTGGCTTAGTAATTATTATTTGCAGGGTTCAAGACCTTCCTTCAGTAGATATATTTGTGCCAACGGCGGATCCGGTCAGGGAGCCACCGATTCTAGTTGTGAACACCGTGCTGTCGCTGTTAGCTCTGAATTATCCGGCGAACAAATTGGCATGTTATGTATCAGACGATGGATGCTCACCTCTCACTTACTTCTCTCTCAAGGAAGCTTCTAAGTTCGCCAATATTTGGGTTCCTTTCTGCAAAAAATACAACGTTAAAGTTAGAGCTCCCTTTAGATATTTCTTGGACCCTTTAGCCACTTCAATGGATTCTGAATTCACTAAAGACTGGGAAATAATGAAGGTAATTAATTCAATTGTTTTTATTATTTATTGTTTATTTTTATTATTTATTTATTTTAACAGCTATTAATTTTTTTTCTTAAGAAAGGTTTTCTATTATACATTAAATTTTACATGTTACACGCTTTTCTGTCAACGTTAAGTGAAATATTTATCGATTTTGTCTCATGGAAATTTACTAACTATGTTTTATTAATTATGATTTATCCAAATTTTCTTCTAACCTAATTGAGTCAAATCGATAGCCACAAACATTCTGAATATATATTCTATGAATTGATTTATTGTATTAATACATGCATAGAGAGAGTACGAGAGGTTAAGCCAGAAAGTGGAAGATGCCACTGGAGATTCGCAATGGTTATATTCAGACAATGATTTTGAAGCTTTCTCAAAAACAATACCAACTGATCATTCAAACATAGTTAAGGTATTTCTACAGTATAATCTCCAATTATTTAAAAAAAAAAATCTATATAACTATTGTTATCCATATATTGCAAAAAAATGTAATATATGGGATCAAGACTTTAGTGGTCTAGTGTCTGGGAAAAATACATAGTGCTCAATTCGATTCTATTTGGGATGGACGATTAACTATGAAATATTATGGTCCAAGATTCGGGGAAAAAAAATCAAACTTTCAAAAAGGGATAGTTAACTCTAAAAATTATATGATACACTGTAATATATATGTATCAAACATTTTAATTCTTGTATATATAATATGAAGGTGTTATGGGAGAATAAGGATGGTGTGGGTGACGAGAAAGAGGTCCCTCATCTTGTATACATTTCAAGAGAGAAAAGACCAAATTACTTTCATCACTACAAAGCTGGAGCCATGAACTTTCTGGTTAATGATTTTTTCTCACACATCTCTCTTTTTTTTTGTTATTCTTAGTTTTTTTTTTTTTTTGAACTTTTGTTATTCGTAGTTTCAAAGTAATTAAGTGCATAAGTTAGTCAGCTAATGAAATTAATCCGCATTGATATATATATATAATTACAAAAGGACTTAAACACATGATTATACATATATATATATATATATATATATATATATATATGTACGTACGCAAACTCTTATGTCTTTTTATGAAAGGTAAAACTGTATAGAAGAAAATGACTCATACTTTGTATAAGCTATTGAACTATATCACTCGATTGTACAATGACGCAATGTTCCATGCATGTGATATGGCTGCAATCACTTTAATTTTACGTTTTGTTGCATGTGATATTAGCCTATTTTTAGTGTTAGTTAAGCATACATCTAAAACTAAACAAGCATTGTGACGCTTACATTAATATTGATAGTTTATAATGTAATATCTTCTATATATTAATTGAGAAGCATTTTTAAAAAGTAACCTAATTTTTGTAAGTATTTACAGTGGTGCTATTATGCTGATATGTCAACCTCACATTCATTTTCAGCTAATTATTTTAAAGACTTAGATTACTAGACTAATTACATGATATGTCATTATATATTTTAGGTCCATATATATGTTATGTTTCATTTTATAATCAGCATTTAATTTATTAAGATATGTTTTCTCATTTATTTCTTACCAAAGATATATCATATTAATTATTTCTTTAATTATATTATCTACAAAAAATCTAATTTTCTCTTATTTTCATTTAAACTTACTTTTGTAAAGTAAATAAATTATCACATCATCCATATACTAATATATATACATACATGTATTATAATTTGAATTTTAAAAATTGAATATAAATTACTCAAATTATTAATAAATAAACATAAATCATTATAATTTGAGTTCATTATAATCATTATGAAAGTTGATTGTAATTTGAGTTCATTATAGTCATTATAGATAAAAATAAATAATTATAATTCAATTTAATTAACTCTTTCCAAAAGTAAATTCTCAATTAGCCCATAATTTAGACTCTTTCCAAAATTTAGTATACAATAAATAGTATTTAATATTTAATATAATATAATTATGAGCTAATTGAGAATTTATTAATAATTTTAATGAAAATAGAATTTATTGTGTTTGATATATGTTAATAATTTAAGTAATTTAATTTATGGCGCATTTACTAATATAATTTAGATATAAGTAATATATTAATTTTTTTTTTTTCAATTTAGATATATATATTCAAAGATTTCAAGTAGAGACGATATTGACACTTTTGTTTAATAAGTCATCAATGTTTAATACTTATTTGGAATAAAATTAATATATAAGATGGATAAACATCAATATTTTTATAAATGCTAATTATAATAAATTTTATTTGTCATATTATTTTTTTATATAATCAATCATAGCAAAGACGAATCAAAACTCTAACCATATTACATCTTAAATTTAGTATTCCGCTTTATTATGTATATACTATACTCCCAATTTACTATTTATCATATATTCAATTATGCTTTATTATTATATTTTAGATAATATCTTTTTTATTAAAGGTTTTTGGAGTCAATAATTATTTTTTTCTTTTACAAAGAGATAATTTATGGATATAATTATTGCTTTTCAAATTAAAAATATAAAAATTATATCTTTTTTTTTAATTCATTCGATATAGTAGATAAGTAACAACTTATTTAAATAATAATATTTAATTATTATTTAAAAATTAAAAATAATTAAATATATACACAAATATTATACTAAATTTAAATAAATAATAATTATTTTATTTCGTACAGGATGCAGGTTATTACCTAGTATATCTTATTCAATATCCTATAGTAATCTATTACTTTGAGAATTTTGTTTTGTTAAATATTATTTTGAGAATTGAGACATCATATGACAACTGACAAGCCTTATTGAACAGTTTATCAATGATTGTTGAACTTAATTTTTTGTTGTTGTTGTTGTTATACCAATAATAACATGACTATTTGACCAGGTAAGAGTTTCAGGGTTGATGACAAATGCACCATACATGCTGAATGTAGACTGTGACGTGTACGCAAATGAAGCAGATGTGGTGCGAAAAGCAATGTGTATATTTTTGGAAGAATCAATCAATCCAAACAATTGTGCTTTTGTTAAATGCCGCCTCGATTTCTATGATAATAACTCCGATGAAGTCATCATCATGCAATCAGTGCGATTTCTTCTTTACTTTTTAGTTATCATTTTGATTAATTCGATCTTGTTTATCAACCAATACTTAATCTTTGGTTTATTTCTTTAAATAATTGTGGAAATTAGTATTTGGGACCAGGATTTTCGGGAATCCAAGGACCGATGTATACAGGGACAGGATGCTTCCACACTAGAAGAGTTATGTACGGTTTATCTCCGGAAAATTTAGAAGATGATGGAAGTCTTTCTTCAGCTGCTACAAGTAAGTACTAGTGGCAGAATCAAAACATTACTCACGGCTCCACTTCATATTGTTACATTATTATACTATTCGATCACATATAAATGAAAACATTCTTCACGGCTCATGTTGGTATTTCATTCAGGGAAGTTCTTGACTGAAGAGAGTTTAGCGAAAGAATTTGGAAAATCTAAAGAGATGGCGAAATCAGTGGTTGGGGCATTACAAAGAAAACCAAATCTCCAAAATATCCGTACAAATTCCATAGAAGCAATCAAAGAAGCTGGAAATATTTATTATGAACATCAAACCAGCTGGGGAAAAACCGTAATTCTTTTTAAATTCAATTCTTTTTTTTTGGGCAACAAATTTAATCAATATAGTTTTTTATTTAATTGAAAAACTTCTCCATTTTAAAACCTCCAGTTAAATTTCTAACAAAGAAACTCTTTAATCATATCTTAAAAAATTTCTTTTACTGAAACCTACTAAAAATCTTAAACAGTTTCTTTTTAATAAAACACAAAATTTTAATTTAAAAAATTTAATATTATAATAAAGTTTTAATATTTGTTTTTCTTTTTCAAAACTTTACCAAAATTTGAACTCTATTGATGAGATATCTATGAAATCTCTCATAAATATAATATAAATGATTTTTTAATTATAGTTTAATATTTTGTACTTTAATTTGAAAATTTTATGTTTTATTTAATCTTAAATTAGAGAAATTCTCATAAATATTATGTCAAATCAATACAACTATAACACAAATGTCTCTCCCAGAGATGACACCTTAGTATTTTGGAGTTTTCTCAAGATAACACCTCAGCAAAAATATTCACCAATCAAAACATTTTATTAATACAACTCATCTACTTATTTTAATTTTTAAACTTAAATCCATTAAAAACTCAAATACTTTTATATTAATCTTTATTTTATTTTTTACCAAACCCAAGTCCAAATAATTAATAATAATAAATAAATAAATAATATTTATTTTAATTTTTTGCTAAACTCAAATCCAAATAATAAATAACAATAAATAAAAAGTCTTTGTTTTTGATGGGCAACACAATTTTCTGTTTTTGATGGATGATGCAATTTCTTGGTTTCTGCAAGAAAATACAATTTCATATTTTTTGCAAAAAATGAAATTTGACGATTTTGACGGAAAAATGCAATCTCTCAGTTTTTTTAGAAAAACATGATTTCTCGGTTCGACGAGAAAACAATTTTTCTTGGCTTTGGCGGGAATAAGGAATTTCTCTGTTTTGTCGAGAATATGGGAATCTTGGTTTTGGTAGAAAAATATGATTTTCAGTTTTTGTAGCAAAATATATTCTCAGTTATGATGGAAAAAGCGAATTCTCTGTTTGGCAAGAAAATGTGAATTTTTGGTTTTGGTGAGAAAACAAAAAAAAAATTGATTTTGACGAGAAAAACAAAATATCTTAGTTTTGATGGAAAAAAATGCTCGGTTTTGATGAGAAATGTAACTTTTCAATTTTGACAAAGAATGCAATTTCTCAGTTTTAATAGAAAATGCAAATTTTTGGCTTTTGATGGATAATGCGATTTTTTGGTTTTATACGAAAATGTGATTTTTTAGTTTTCGCAAAAAATGGAATTTGACGATTTTGGCAGGAAATACAATTTTTCGGTTTGATGGAAGAACAAAATTTCTCGATTTTGGCGGGAATAAGCAATTTTTTGGTTTAGATGGAAAATGCAAATTTTCAATTTTTGACGAATAATGTGATTTTTTTTTTTTTTTCGTGGGAAAATGCAATTTCTTAGTTTTCACGGGAAACATAATTTCTCGAGAGATAATACAATTTTTGGTTTTCGCAGAAAATTGTACGCCCTCCATTTTTTATTGTATGATGTTTTAGAATTTTCCACTTGTTTTTTAAAGTTTGATGTTTTAGTTTTTAATTAATATATTTTAGATTAAATATTATTTTTACTTTTATTCTATTGGTATAGTTGTATTGGAAAAGAAAAAAATAATGAAAAAGTAAAACAATCTTAAAATCTGTGCAAGAGCTAAAAAATCTTATATTTAAAAACATAGGGTGTAGTTTATTTGTTTTGGTAGGAATGCGTGATTTTTGGTTTGACGAGAAAATGTATTTTTTGGTTTTGGTGGGAATAGAAGATTTCTCAGTTTTTGAAGAAAATAATTGTTTTGGTTTTGACGGGAAAATGTAATTTCTTAGTTTTCACGGGAAAACACATTTTCTCGGGAGATAATGCGATTATTGGTTTTCGCGGGAAATTGTAGTTTATTTGTTTTGATAGGAAAGCATGATTCTATATTTGACAAGAAAATGTATTATTTGGTTTTGGCGGGAATAGAGATTTCTTGGTTTTTGCAGGAAAATAAATTTTTGGTTTTCACAGAAAAATACGATTTTTTGGTTTTTGCAGGAAGATGAAATTTTTTGGTTTTGGTGAAAAATGTGATTTTTTCGGTTTTGGCGAGAAAACACAAGTTCTTGCGGGAAAATAAAATTTTAGGTTTTAGGTTTGACGAGAAAATGGATTTTTTTGGTTTTGGCGGGAATAGGCGCTTTCTTAGTTTCATGGGAAAATAAAGTTTTTTGGTTTTGATGGAAATGCGATTTCTCAGTTTTTGTAAGAAGATAAAATTTCTCTATATTAAATTTCCAAGTTAAAGTATGTTTACAGTAACCAAAATTTAATTATTTAAATTCAACTAAAACAATATTTCAACAGTTCAAACAGAAGTTTCTATTTAGTTCTAAAGTAATAGCAATGGTTTTAATATGAATGTTATTGATTATAATTTGGTAGTTTTAGAAACATATGTTTATAATAAATATTTGATAAATAAAGAAATTTTATAATTCAAGATTATCATTTAAAATGGTATTTTATATAATTACAAAGGAAAATCATGTGATAATTTATTGAAGAAAATAGATTACATTTTCTATTAACACGAAAGTACTAAAAAATATATTTTTTTATTCTTACATATACATATATAATTAATTAGCTAAACATATTTAATAGCAAATTATAATTTCAAAAAATAAAAAAATTAAGTATATACAATGTTTATTGAAATTAGAAACATACAAATACATAAATTAAGCTAATAAAAAATATAATACTCATTTACATTATATAAATAAATTTATTCTATTAAAAATATATAAAAAATTTATAAAAATATCCCGCAGCGTATTGCGGGTAAATACCTAGTTATTTTAATTTTTGAAGTTTCATTATGTTTTTGATATTTAATGTTATTGTGTTAACTAAAGTAATACTAATCTAATATAATTGTAGTAGTTTAATTAACATTAATGTATAACTTAAACTTATGCAGAAGAACATTTATAATAAATAATTTAAATTTATGATTTATTATAAAATAAAATAATATACAAACTATTTATTTAACATTTCAAACTATTGGATATTTGATTTATCACAAATAATCTGAATCACTCATTAAGAGACATTTATCCTATACACAGATTTCAAAGTCTCTCAACTTCAAACAAAATATTAGTTTCTTACTTTTTTATTATATTTGAATGTGAAAAATTGATTAAGAGACGACTCTCCTACTAAACAACAGTACTTTAAACAATAATAATATGCATGTTATGCATGTTTTTTTCGATTACCAAAAACAAAATCAGGATATTTAGCTGTAATCGTGCAGGTTGGTTGGTTATACGATTCAATAGCGGAAGATCTGAGCACGAGTATTGCAATCCATTCAAGAGGATGGACTAGCTCATACATTTCTTTAGATCCACCGGCTTTTCGAGGAAGCATGCCGCCGGTAGGACTAGAAACATTTCCCCAGTGGCGGCGATGGGTGACGGGTGGGCTCGAAGTCTTCTTCAACAAAGAAAGTCCGTTGATCGGAATGTTTCACCAAAAACTAAGATTCCGACAACGATTGGCTTATCTTTCTATTTCCATGGCGGGTCTATATTCACTCCCTATGCTATTATATTGTTTATTGCCCGCTTATAGCCTACTCCACAACTCTTCCTTATTTCCCAAGGTGCCCAAGGTGACTATCTCTCTCTATGTTCTATCTATTTTCATATGTAGTTGAAAATAAATAATGCTTTAGTAGTTAGGTGAATTAAATTTCATATATGATAAAAAAATAACAATGCTTTTTTTTTTCTGTATGTATTGCTTTAGGTGTTTTGTTTAGGTATAACTATCACACTTGTTGGGATGCATTGTCTTTACACTCTACGGCAATTTAGGATGAGCCCTGATTGTTTTGTACTATCATGGTATGTTCCCATGTTTGGTTCCTTATTTAGCGTCCATGATATCACACTCAAGCTTCTTGGAATCTCAAAAACCGTTTTCATAGTCACCAAAAAAACTATGCCTAAGACTAAGTCAGGATCTGGAGGCCCATCTCAACTGAAAGATAATGGTCTTAACGTAGATTCGTGTAGTTCTGAATTCGATTGCTCGCTGTTTTTCTTGCCTGGTACATTCATTTTGTTGGTGAATCTAGCCGCTTTAGCCAATCTTTTGATGGGCCTACAACTAAGGAGGCGTAGTGACAAAGGAGGTGGCTCGGGTTTGGAAGAGGTTTGTGGATGTGTGTTTATGGCTACGTTGTTCCTTCCATTTCTAAAGGGTTTGTTCGAGAAAGGAAAATATAGTATCCCATTATTTACTTTTTCTAAAGCTGCTTTTTTAGCAGTTTTGTTTGTTGTTTTCTCTATAGGAAAGTAGTATTGTCTTCATATGGATTTGTTATGCAACTAAACCAAGTTTATCATGGCATTGTCTCAATTAATAAATCGTCTATATGCAAATCGTTTGTACATTTCCTTTTCCAATTTAGTATCGTGATGTATTTGTTATGCAACTAAATTAAGTTTATCATGGCAGTGTCTCAATTAATAAATTACTAGATTTTGGACCTGCAGATATATTATTCTTCAAATGAATTTTATAAATGTTTAAATTAAGTAGTATAAGAAAGTTTATTATATATTATGTTATAATATAGCCTGTTTTCTGGTACATCTGTATTATAACTTTATTTCGAGGGACTTGATTAGGCATATGGGCATTTAACCCGGATCCGGATCCGAACCGAAAAAACCCGAACCGAGATGATTCGGCTATTAAAGATTACCCAATCAGGAGTGATTGGTTTAGCATTTCGGGTACAAGGTATTATCTGACCCGATCCGATTTCTGAACGGTGTACCCAATCCACTTCACCTTACGTTATCTCCGATGATTCTCCTTCTGATGTAGTTTCCGTCAATCCCGATTACGAAGCCACAAAATTAGAAAGTAACTATATTCTCAATCCCGATTCTCAAGCCGAAATTTAGTTCGTTCTCAAATGCTAAATCCGAAAAACTGGAATCCGAAAATCATTCCCCTGCAGCCAGTCTTTCCTCTGTGATGTCAAGAAATCAATTGCAGTCTCAGGTAAGAAATCAAAAGCTCTATGCATAATGTAATTTATTGGTTGATACTTTGATTTGTGATTGAGAGTTGATGATTCATCTCATTCTCTTTAATTTGTGACTGAGAAGTTGCTGTTTTTTTAGCTGCTTTTGATTATGTGATGCTGCTCTCGATTTTCTCTGTTCTTTAGCTGCTCTCGATTATGTGAAGTTACTGAGAAATCTAAAGCTCTATGCATAATGTTCTTTCTCTGTTTTGTAATTCATGTGATGCTGCTCTCGATTAGTATAGAAAGTAGGATTTATTCATTGTCATTAACGGTTCTTAAGAGTTTGCAAATATGATGCTTCTTGTTTACAAATAAGAAGAACTTGGAGTTATTATTCATGATTAATACTATGCTTCTTGTTTACAAACTTGAAGAACTTGTTTTTCATACTTTCATTTGGTTTTCTTTTTTCAAAACTATATTTGGTATTACAACATCGTTGACTCCTACTTATGCGAAATACAAGGGTTGCTCAGCCTATAGGTAATAGTTATATGGTGATCACCGTACACTTTATTGATGCAAATTGGCAGTTGAAGAAGCTGATAATTGGGTTCAAATATGTCACCGATCATAAAGGGGATACAATCTCGAGAGTTCTTCTTGAATGTTTGGCTAAATGGAGAATTCAGAAGATATTTACAGTCACGGTTGACAATTCCACCGCCAATACATCCGCACTCAAGAAATTTCAGAGCACATTCAAGTTACTGAACAATGAAGCATTGGTTTTAAATGGGGAGCTTATGCATGTGAGGTGTTGCGCACATATTATCAACTTGGTTGTCAAGGAAGGTTTGCTCGAGTTAGCTGATAATGTAACAGCCATTCGTAATGCAGTGCAGTATGTGAGCGCATCTACAAACAGGTTGAATACTTTTGATGATAGGGTCGACACAGGAAATATTAGCAGAGGGAGTTTGCCTTTGGATATGAGAACAAGGTGGAATTCAACATATTTGATGTTGTTACAAGCTATTAAGTTTAGGGTTGCATTTGATGGAATTGGAACTTGAAGACAAGGTCTACAATGACTATTTCATGGAATATGAGAATGGTAAAAGAAGGGTTGGACCTCCTCTCTCTGACGACTGGAAGGCTGTGGAGAGGTTGTACAATTTCTAATCATTTTCTACAATTCAACTTTGGTTGTCTCGGCATCTACATCTATTTGCTCTTATAAGTGCTATGGTGTAATAGTGATTATAGAAAGGAATTTAATGAACAAGATCATAGTTTAGATAGAGAGTTAACAGCTAAGGCCGTAGATATGAGAGCAAAGTTTGACATATATTGGGAAGGATTGAAGAACATTAATAAGATATTGATTGTTGCTAGTGTCTTTGATACGACTAAGAAAATGCAATTCGCTAAGATGTACTTTGAGAGACTTTATGGCAAAGACACTGCTGAATATAAATGATGACTTAAGCAGTGTATGATGTTATGAAAGTGTTGCTAGAGGAGTACAATGTTGGGTTAAAGAAGGATTCGGTTGTGCAAGCATCTCAGTCGACGCAGTCTTCATCTTCTAGTGGTCAAGAATTTGTTTCAAGCAGTCAAAATATAGACTTCGTGGATGATGACCTGAAAGGATGGATTTTGTTTACATAGTATCCATCAGCAAGATCAATTAGCTTTTTTATACACATGTAAAAAATCTATTCTAAAAAGTAAGGTTTTTTTTAGAACCAGTTCTGATATGCTGCCACATGTCATCTTATAAATTGACATGTGGTACTTTTTTTTTTTTTATATTTCTACTGAATTCTTTTTTTCAAACAAACACGAAGATAAAACTTCAGTTTTTTTCTTCTTCTCCACACTATTTTTTTTATATTTCTACCAAATTCTTTTAATCAAACAAACACAAAAATAAAACTTCAGTTTTTTTTTTCTTCTTCTCCATGTTATTTTTTTCTTTCATATTTCTATTGAATTCTTTTTATCAAAACAAACACAAAATAAAACTTCAGTTTTTTTTCTTCTCCACACGATTCTATTTCATCCAACAAAAAAATAAAATAAAATTATCTAATAAAATTCAAATCTTATATGATAGAGTAAGTTCATGTGTCAAATTTGTTTGTTTAAAATAAATTTGTTTTTTAAGAACCAGTTCTGATATGCTGCCACATGTCATCTTATAAATTGACATGTGGCCCTTTTTCTCTTTTTCTCTTTTTTGTTTATTTTTTCATATTTCTACTGAATTCGTTTTATCAGTCAAACATAGAAATAAAACTTCAGTTTTTTTTTCTTCTTCTCCACGCTATTTATTTTTTTTCATATTTCTACTGAATTCTTTTTATCAAACAAACACAGAAATAAAACTTCAGTTTTTTTCTTCTTCTCCACTCAATTCTATTTCATCGCAAAAAAAAAAAAATCAAATCACCTAGCAAAATTCAAATCTTATATGATAGAGTAAGGTCATGTGCCAAATTTGTTTTTTGTTCATGTGTCAAATTTTTTTTTTTCTCCTATCTCTGCTTAGTTTATTTAATCAAATAAACATAAAAACAACACTTCAATTTTTTTCTCCTTTCTCCATTCGATACCCTTTTATTATGTCTCCTACTTCATATTATTTTAAAAGTTTATTTTACTTTAAGAGCTGATTATGGCATACTTCTACAAAAAACCATAATTTTATTTTTTAAGTTTTCTTTGTGGCTAAACGAGCAGAAAATAATGCATTATATAATAAGTTTTTTTTTGAAACATCTCTTACATGCTGCCACATATCATCTTATAAATTGACATTGTCACTTTTTTTTCATATTTCTACTGGATTGTCTTTTATCTAAAAACAAAGCTTCGATTTTTTTTCTCTCCTCTACATGATTCTTTTTCATCCAACAAAAAAAACAAAAATCAAATTAACTAACAAAGTATAAATCTTCTATGATAGGGTAAGGACATGTATCAAAAAAAAATTTATATTTTTTTCTATCTCTCATAGTTTTTTTTCTTCCTTCTCCACTCGGTTCTCATTCATTATGTCTCCTACTTAACATTATTTTTGAATATTTTTTAACTTTTAAGAGCTGATTGTAGCATTACTTATGCGCAAAAAATAATTTCATTACTTTATATTTTCTTTGTGGCCAATCCAATAGAAAACCATTTATTATTTGCTTTCATGAAATCATTTTATATCAATAGCTCACTCTTTCCTTCCGGACCCCATCGAACCTCAAAAACCGCCACTACTATCACAATCTGGATTCTACTCTCCGAATTTCATTTCTGATCATCGTTGCCTGCTTTCAAAGAATGGTGACAGCTATGATGTAGGAGTTTACTCTACTTCAAATCCTACATATACCCATATCATTGTAGTATGTAAATATCAATCCATAATGGGAAGGTAAGACACTAAGAATGCAATATATTATCTAATTCAAGCAAGCATAAATGAGTAATTGAAACTATGAAACTAATGACTAAAAGAAACTTTAAATAAGCAAGAGCAAGTGAAATAAACAAAGAAAATAAGGCAAGTTCGAATTCAAACATTCAAAGACTAGTAGGCTTGAGATAGGGTAATTGATCTAGGGAGACTTTCATCTTAACTAGTTATGCGTACAAACCCACAAAAAGCTATTCCTAAGCATAAAATTAACAACTATAACTAGCTCAATTCCTTGGCACTAGTTACTTTGCTAAGCACTTATTCAAGACAAATTTCTTTACTCAAACACATAATCAGAAAGCATTATAAGCAACTAATCCAATGCCAATCTACTCCTTACGCAGCTAATTCCTTAGGCTAAGATAAGCAAATCTCTTACTTGACTTATTCAGGAAATTCATCAAACACATGTCAGGCATAAGAGAACCCTAGGATCTAGATCAAATTAGCAAGGGCTAATCTAGTATTAAACGCAATCAATAAGAAGGAACAATCATATTAAGCACTAAGCAATCACTAATCTAACATTAAATCTCCCTATCTCTATCCCATCTCAAACCCTAATTAAACTACTCACTAATCATAATCCTAATCACAGCCTAAAGCAAGGGAGAACAAATCATGATCAGAAAGGAGATAAACACCAACTTTTGATTGAAAGAACAAGATTTAACAAGAGATTACAAGAAAAACTAAGAGAAATACAGAGGAGAAAGCTATTATCCAAAGGGGAAGAGATGATAAGATTCTCCTTTAATGTTTTTAGGCCACATCCTCTATATAGTTTTCAAGAAAAACCCTTAGTAAACCGGAAATAAATCGGAAAGCAGCTGGTTCGGACACCTGATATCGACTTATTACATCGATACGCTGGTCGATACTGATTGGCAGGAGGGTGTGTCGACCAAGTCTCGTCGATACTCTAATCGATACAGTCGCCTCTGGCTAAGGCATCTCGGTTGATCTCCTCAGTATGCTACTCGATGCAATCA